GCAGTTACCCTTAAATTTCTTAAAGTATATATATATATATATACTAAGTATCTTATCTGAAGCTTTTATTTTTTACTTTTACGAACAAATGTAGCATATTTCGGTTGGAATAAAGAAGTCGTGTATTCAATTTTTACTCTCCTCTTATACCCTCTAACTGTTTAAAAATGAAAATACATAAAATTTACAGCGGTATATCTGCGGGCTTACAACGCTAGAAACCGGGTTTCGATACCCGTGGTGGGCAAAGCACAAATAGCCAATTGTGTAGCTTGTGCTACTATTTTACCAACGAATAGTAGGATTGATCGTCACATTATAACGCCCCCACGGCTGAAACGGCGATCATGTTCGGTGACAGTAATTCGAACCCGCGACCCTCAGATTGCGAGTCGATCGCCCAAACCACCAGGCCATGCCAGGCCCACGAATTTGGACAATAAATTGTTTAATTGTTTTACTCATATATCCTGTGGTATTCAATTAATGTAAGTAATAGACCATTTAAACCACAATTATTTCTTGTTGAAAAACAAATAGCAAATTGTGTTTGTTTCGAAACAATTACTAATATCATAAGTGTTTCTTTATTTAAATCTTTTATTAGTTTGTTGTTCCCATTCGACACGGCCCAGCATGGGTCGCGATTTCGAATCCCCGTCACACCAAACATGCTCGCCCTTTCAGCTGTGGGGGCGATATAATGTGATGGTCAATCCCACTATTCGTTGGTAAGAGAGTAGCCCAAGAATTGGCGGTGGGTGGTGATGACTAACTGCCTTCCCTCTAGTCTTACCCTGCTAAATTAGGGACGGCTAACGCAGATATCCCTCGTGTAGCTTTGCGCGAAATTCAAAACAAACAAACCCATTCGACACCTAAACTATTTTCTCATCCAAAGGGTTCACACAGCCACTCGTAAGATTCACTGTTTATATCTTTCGCTTTCAAAGACTTGTATTCATATTTAGTTGATTCTCTCATTGTGGGAAATGAACAGAAAAACAAAACAAATACGACTTTAGAACGAAACAGAATGGAAAGAAAATAACTTTTTCGACGAAGCACTGAAGTTTATGCAATTAATACGATTGTTGTTTATAGTTAAGCACAAAGTTACACAATAGGCTATCCGTACTCTGCCTACCACGGGTATCGAAACCCGGTTTCTAGCGTTCTAAATCCGCAGACATACCGCTGTGCCACTGGAGGACGACTAATACGAGAAAACACTTGAAGTAAAGTTGAACAATGCGCGTCAAAAATTGATGTAGGTAAAGAAAGAATATGCACAGAAGAATGGGTGAATTTGTATTTTATATTTAGGTGTTCACACTGGAGTTTACTCATATTCATCAATAGATTAATGAATAGGTTTGTCTAATTTGTTTCAAATACCTGGAAATATTTTGCTATCAAACAATAGTTAATAGTTTGTTTTAAAATCTTCGCGTTAACCTACATAAAGTGCTATCAGAATACTTGAATTCACAGTACGAGCACGCTACCTACTAGGCCACACCTAAAACAATAGAAGAAATAGTATAAAATAATACGAAGAAACGTTATTTAACCTCACAACCTCAGGAACGTTGGACAAGTCTATTACAAACGTTATTTAACCTCACAACCTCAGTAACGTTGGACGAGTCTATTATAAACGTTATTTAACCTCACAACCACAGTAACGGTGGACAAGTCTATTACAAACGTTATTTAACCTCACAACCTCAGTAACGTTGGACGAGTCTATTACAAACGTTATTTAACCTCACAACCTCAGTAACGTCGGACGAGTCTATTACAAACGTTATTTAACCTCAGAACCTCAGTAATGTCGGACGAGTCTATTACAAACGTTATTTAACCTCACAACCTCAGTAATGTCGGACGAGTCTATTACAGTATACTCTCAGTTTATTCGATTAAATTAGGCCTCCTTGTTAGTTGTATTGAAGAATAAACCTAAGTTCTTACCAAACTTGAAGAGTAAGCTTTATAGGCTTTATTGTAATGGTAACCGTCACGATACTGATGTGTGCAATGTTGCCCATGTGCAACATTTTGTCACAATAATTATAGTGATTTTTAAACTTTTAACTTGCACTTCAAAAATCGTTTCTAGGCAAACAGATAGACTTATAGTAGTATGTACGAATCAGTATAAAAATGCATGATCAGTTACATGCGTAATCTGTAAGTGTACATGCGTGTGCTTGCTTATAGCTATGATGAGAATAAGTTACAGTGAGCACCTATTTTTGTGAATCATTAACAAATGGTTGCAAATTATTACATTCAATAAATTATAGTATGCATGTTAAGTTATTGTGTCTCAGATATATATATATACTTTTCATCTGATTTTAATTTATTACCATATATATATATATAGTCTAGTTTAACATTTC